CTTTTAAAAAACATATTCAGCCTTCCAAGGTCATTTCCAAAACAGAACTCTTCTCCACTGTAAATTACTCTATTTCTGAGATTACAATTCATGACAAACAAACCGATTAGATGGTAGCTTGCATCCTTAGAATAACTCTTTCCTTCTGCCTGAAAGTAAATCTTACGCCGAAACTCATTGGAACTTTCCCTATTTACTAACTGACATATTGTGCCCTTAAGTCCTCTTCAGCTCTCGGGGAAAACGGAGATTTTAATCCTGAATTTCCCAAATTGTTACAATGCTGTTTATGTATTCAGAAAAACTTTTATGTTGTCATCTAGTGACATCGTGTCGATTTGATACAAAATTTACAACCTAGCCTTTTGATTGTTATATATTATGTTTATTTTTGAGGTCTCGTTGGTACAGTTATCCACATTATCACATATATACCTGTATACGTGTTTCTTGCAGCATCAATGGTATACTTTCCTTGGGTTCGTAGAGTTTCTGGTATAATCACCTGGGTAAGGAGCATGGAATACTCTCTGACTTGACGTCTTAACCGCGATATCAATCTACAATGTTTCTTTTTCATTGATTTTTGATATCTTTATGGCAACGTTTTGATGGATTTCTATCGCTTTGATTAAGGAAAATCTTCGACGTTTAGGATGGAGTTGTCGTTGAATTATTAGACTTCAAGCTGAATCGAGCAGAATCTTCAGAACGTTGTCCTGAAAGATCAACCCTGTTCCCAGGCTCTCTCTCCTTTGCCTCCCTCGACAAGGGAGGCAAATGAGAGAGCCTGGGAATGAGGTTACTGAAAGATGTCAAAATCTAATCAAATCACTTCAGTACAACTCACTGTTTATCAAGAGTAGATCATGGATAAATTTCCAATCCAGTGGATAGTGTGGCGTTTTTTTTCTGGGAATTTGAAACGAGAGCGAAGCGCGAGCAGTGGCCGGATGGGAAGGGACACTCGTGCAAACCTTATTTATGCGAGCGGGCGGCTGGGAACGAGGCAGGTGAATATTGGTCATGCGCACTTGTGTAATACCAGTCAAGGAAACAGATGGCATTTTCGCCAACTGAGCCTAAGACTAGTCTCATGCTGTGTTGTTCCAGAAAATAACCATANCTGAAAGATCAACCCTGTTCCCAGGCTCTCTCTCCTTTGCCTCCCTCGACAAGGGAGGCAAATGAGAGAGTCTGGGAATGAGGTTGCTGAAAGATGTCAAAAATTAATCAAATCACTTCGATTGGTGTAAAGTAAAGTTCACTGTTTATCAAGAGTAGATAATGAAACCATTGGATAAATTTCCAATCCAGTGGATAGTGTGATCCTTTTTTTCTGGGAATTTGAAACGAGAGCGAAGTGCGAGCAGTGGCTGATGGGAAGGGGCACTGGTGCAAACCTTATTTATGCGAGCGGGCGGCTGGGAACGAGGCAGGTAAATACTGGCCATGCGCGCGTCTGTAATACTAGTCAAGGAAACAGACGGCATTTTCGCCAACTGAGCCCAAGACTTAAGTTTCATGGTTATAGGATTAACTGCAGGAATTGTGAATGCATCACTTATGAGCGCCATTATGGTATTCTGTGATTACCAAAGAACTAGATCTTACAATTCTGTACAGTCTAATCAAAACGTACCCTTGCAATTAAATCGAAATGTATACGGCTTTCCATTAACTTTAAGAAATGGACGTTTTTGCTTAATTGTAATTAATATAAGGGCGTGCCACGATTTGCATTATGATTATGCCAATTTTTCAATCTAAAGAGGGATTTGGTGAGTTAAATTTCCTTGCAATATTGCGCTTCCGAGGTAACTGAAAAAAACTGGTTAGAAATCAACACTGCCTTTGCAAAACTAATCAGAATAACAAACTTTCTGAAAAAAAAAAAAAAGATTAGTGGTTGCATTTTCCTTGTAATAAAGAAAATTTGACTTCCCGTGCCAAAGTAGACAAATATTGGGTTCAAAGTATAAGCAGCGACCGTATATGAACTTGGGTGATGTTCATTCAATTAACTTTCCTCTGTTATAAGCTTCTTTTATTATTTAAATAATATCCTCGACCTATCAAATGCTTTGTTTGAGGAATAATTCTCACTCGGTAGAAATTATCGAGTTAAGCCTTACCTTTCGTATTAATTTTACATCAAAATGAAGGTGACTTCTAAGGGAGACGATAAGAGTTTTCCTTTGACAAAATTTAAGAGAGTAGAAACACTTTTCACTGTTTTCGATAACAATTAATTTCAAGATCTGCGAATGCAATTTTTTGCAAAGATATTTCTAACTGTTCGAAATTAAGAGCTTGTATTAGATTGAATATTTGTAAGACAAAAAGCCGTTGCTACATGCACCCTGACTGTTAAGAGAAACGTTTGCAAATTCAGTGAAAAACCTAACGTTTTTTATCATGGTTTAACCTACCTTTTTTATCCTAATGTATCTGGTCCTAGCCTCTTGAGATTCCGTCTGGAATTCTGTTAAAATCGTTTCCTTTGCGTTATATAAGGAACACATTCTAGCAGCTTTGCAAAGCACGGCATCTGTGCACGCTCTGTGATGACAACATCGTGATGCGCAGGCGAGTTCGCTATTAGCCTTAAACGTGCCAATACCTTCAACAGTGGGAGGGATTTTTAGGAACGATAATATAAAATACGAAGAGCAGTTATGTCCAAAATAATCGAAAGACGTGATCGCAGGAGTAACCGCAACGAGGAGGATAAGTGAGAGCATATCGAGATCGTTCTGTTTTGCTTTAGATGAACTGTTTGTTAGTTTTTCCTCGGTGGGCTTCAAAGTATGAATGACACGGTGAGTCAAATTAAATTTTCTGCTTGTTGCTATTATGGACCTCTGACAGATTTTGTCAAACTCTGTCATTTATTTCCGCAAATCAAGTCAAGTTACCTCTATTTCACGCTTTTCTCCTATTTTTGTCTCAATCATGATCTCGAAAATCAAAACCAACAAGTCTTCATTGAAGAAAATCTGACTTTTTTAAAATGCACTGCTTACGTTTTTAAGTTTGGCAAATTTTGAACAAGCTGTCTTTCAATACGAAACTCCTTTCCGACAACAACTTTTTTTATTCAATTTAAGTTCAATTTTAATTCTATGCATTTGGGGTCCATTTGCAATTTTGACCAAATACACTTCAGAGAAATAATACTTATCTTTATACAATGCTTACAAACGAGCTGTATCTGCGACAAGTCTGTGTGCTTTCAACCTCGGCTGAACAAGCTTTTGTTGACAAGGTTGATTTAAGCGTATGAACGGCAAACTATCAGCAGCTGGTGTGCTAGATTTTGAATAAGGAAAGTTGTCACACCCGTCGCGAAAGCTTCCAAGCAGCGAAAACTGTTCGTGCGTAATCATTGGGCTTTTCCGGCAACAAGGACAGAGCTTGTTATGAAAAACGTACAACCTTTGCCTTGCTTACAAATTCGGAGTTATAAAACCACATGAAAGAGGGAAATTTGCATGTGGTGTGGACCCACATAGACACCTGGACACATATACTGAAAATCAGAAAATCAGAAAATCTGTCGTTCCTAAATTGTGGTCAGGTTGCAAAATTCGCCGAAGGCGTATATTGTTTTTTTTTTTCTGCACATCTTCAGCTTAGTGAGATGATAGAGGTTTCAACACTGACAAAGCTTATCAGGAAACACAAGTTTTCAAAATAGCCGTGTAGTGTTTAGGTAATACTATATAAATAGATCAGCATCATGCATTAGGCTAGAATCCAGGGGGGGGGGGGGGTGACTCCGATATGAAAATGACGGGGTGCTCGTCGTACCTTTTAGGGGTCACGGTTCAGCCTCAAAAAGTCCACAGTGGGAGCTTTTGCGGTACCTTTTGTGGTACTGAGCCGAAAACATATTACAGGAGATAATGTGTTATGTAAGAATTGGTACCTCTTAGGGGAGAAAAAAATTTCAGGCCACTCCCACAAAACAGGATCTTGGTATCACTAAGGGTTTCTTTTCAAAATTTCCGGGGAGCACCCCTGTCTTTTTTATATGGGAGTCCCCCCTCCGGGGCTAGAATGCAATCCCAGGGGAGCTGTAATACTGCTAGCCGCTTCAGGCTGCAATAATCGTTGGCTGGAGCTCATTAGGAAAACAAAGTTAAAACTTTAGAAAGATGGTACTCGTTACGAAAGAGAGAAGCAGTCCCTGGGAGATTGGACTCTTTAACCGAGAAGCAAAC